ATGCATGGTATTTTGCTCATCGCCTATCTTCAAAAAATAAGAAGATTACATTCTGTCGGGACCGAATCTTTTATACCCTTCACCGTTTCCTCAAAAAAATGCAAAAGAAGTAAAAGAACAAAATTCGCATGCTCTATAATATGAAGTGGGCTCAGTTGATTTGTTATATTTTCAAATTAAAAGTTTTTGTTGTAAAAGCATGTGTTCCAATTCCAATTCTTTAGCAAATTTGTACGCGATATCTTCATTCTCGCTAACGGAGAATGTTTACCATAAATGCGTAAACTGACAAATGGATAGACGAACTGGCGGACATGTTTAAATGCGTTCAATATTTGAAGCTAGCCAAGCATTTATATACTTTATGGAGCTTGTGAACCTTGTTTCTGCGCCTTAAAAAACTATTGGAAAAACAATAAAATTTTGATACACTATAATAACGGGTAGGTGTGTTCAATTTTTTCCATTTGTGTGCACGAATGCTACAGCATCGCCCCATAGAATATGCGTTTAAATCTTTGCTTACTTATTTGCTATAGCTTGTGATTAATGATCAAAAAAACAATTTTTATTCCTTTTAAAAAATAGAGGTATTCTCAGTTTACGTGATGCTCAATCAATAGCGAATATTAGTTGGCATTATTAGATCGATTGAGTACAGAAGTCAAGGAAAAAGGGCCACACAAGCAAAACGAAAAAGTGCTGTTTCACCACGGTACAAGTGAATGAAAACGATGGTTAAATTGAATTAATTACGGTCTTCGAATTGCTTCCCTTACCACCGTACCCTCCAGATCTGACTACCAGCTATTACTGGTTTATTGCAGCCTTCAAAAAAATATTCTAGAGAAAGATACTTAGCTCAAATGAAGAAGTTATTGCCGCAACGGAGGGTCGGTTTTGAAAGCAGAGACAAATCGTTCTGCTAACAAGGGCTAGAGAAGTTGGAAGATCATTAAATGAATGTATCCTCTTGAAGACGAGTATGTTGGCGAATAAAATTGATTTAAAAAAAAAAAAAAAAAAAAAAATGTTATATTCTCAGTTAGGCAGGCGACTTATTGAATGATATGATGCTTGCAAAGATTATTATTTTAATTTCGAATTGCTAAACATTAAGAATTCCAATTAAAAAACAGTTTAGTCTTTAGAGAATCATTTTCTTAGTTATTTGAAAAATAATAAAAGTCTTGAAAGTCTTTTAATTAAACCTATCGCTGAACTGTAATGACGTTATTCTTTCGTTTATAACGTCCAGAAATTTATAACCGAGAGTATATATATTCTTATTCTATTGTCCACGTTAATCTCTCTATTCTAAATACTTTTAATTGATTTGCACAAATCAAGCTCTAAAATTGACGTGATCTGTCCGGGTGAAAAAGTGAACTAAAACACTTTTACCTAATCACAAATAAGAATCATTTCATTTTTATTTGCCATTGATACTACTTATACCTTGGACGAAATTTGAAATTCCTATGAGACATTTTTCAGAAGATGTTTAGATGAGAACACAATAACGTAGTTCCAAACTATAAAGACTCTTTACTCTTTATTATATTTACAATTTAAAAAAAAAAAATGTATTAAGCCGTTCGGTACGTTTGAAAAATATATTTGGAAATTGATGGAAACTTTTATCGAAATTAAAACTTGTTAATATTTTCCGAGCGAAATTCGAAAAACTGTGGATTAGAATGCTCGCAAGCATTGCAAGAAAGCATCGAAGTCGGTAGTGAATAAGAGAAAACATGTATTTTGTACACATTCTGTCTCCGAGATGATAAAAACCTCTTTGAAATCTGTGAAGCAACATTCCTTGCTTTTTACGACGAGAGCCTGCCGTAAATGAAAGGTTAATTTGTTGCACAGATTTTCAAAATTCAAGATGCTTCTCACTTTGATCCGCCAAGTCTATCAATTTGGGGCTTTAATACGGCTACATAATTCGGACATAAAGACAACGTCAATTTAAGTACGTAAAAATTTCAATTTAAAAATATACACAATAGTGAGCATGTCAGGCAAATATTTTCTATTGAAAGCCTGCACTGGGCCCGCAAATTTTTATCTGATACTTTTTGTAGCTTTATATGAACATGAAAAATGATTTGTCAGTTGTTGTCGTTCTTGCTCTATATGTATGTTACTTATGATTTTTTTTCTATTAATTATATTATTATTGTTTGTAGAAAATATATATGGAATGGAGGCATATATCATTGATAAAAAGCCTTTTCCCATATACTCGTTAGTTGATTTAAAAAGTTTTTTTATCGAAGATTGGGATATATATGAAATTTCACACGTTATTTTTAACGGTATGATCCATGGCGTAGCCCTAAATATAACAATAATACTACTGTGGAAAAAAACGAATGAGAGTGGCTTTTTTAAATATCCGCGCTATGATATCGATGTGTGTATTATTTTTGGTGCATTGGTACGACTGCTGCGAACCGATGCACCATTCAATGAACATCATGAGATAGTCGAAGAGAAATCTCGTTCAGGAAGACTATAAACATCAACTACTGATGAAAATCTCAATAAGATCAAAAATTTTGCACTTGTCAGCAACTTGCAAGAGTTTTGAATTTTTTTGAAAAATAACGTCGCGCAGAAATGTCAAAAGATGTGCTTTGTATGAGTGATGTAAAAAACTTGGATGTGTGCTTGTGACCTGTAAAAAGACTTAGCATTGTAGTGAATATATCGTGCTACAGATGAACCAAAAAAAAAAAACGTTGACAATATTAGCAAAAAAAAGTGTGTCCTGTTACCTGTTCAATACCACATCAATATCATAGCGCGGGCCGATTGTTTCCATTTTTTGACGTAAGGAGTAGAGTGTTTCGTAAACAATATGGACAATTTCAGCCTTCTAACTTTAATAATTTCCGAGTAACGGAGAAAAATCCAAAAACTTTTGTTAAAAAAACGGAGGTGTGTTCACTTTAGGATTCACGGTAAGCTCCTTCTCTCACCAATTTGGCCCATTTTCAATACCAACCTGCGTGCAGAAATTTCCAATGCTTGTACCCAATTTGAAGTCAATATCTTCATTTTTAGGACCAGGAAAGTGCCAACAACACACACAACACAGACACACGGATGGCAGAAATAGCTTAATCACCTTAGAATTTCACGCTGATCAAGAAAATATGTACTTTATAGGTCCTCCGAAGCTTCCTTTTGGATGTTACTCACATTATGTAAAAAAACAAACCCATCTTACAATGGAGGATATAAAATTTAGAAAAGAGGGAATATATGCAATAGGTCATAGGTGAATACGTATTATTTGACGGAAGACAATTTACTTTTTGCCTCCAGATCGCAGATAAGGCTATACTAGTTGCTATCATACCATGTCGTAGGTAGAAATAGCCTTCATGGTTTATGTCAATAGTTGGTCCCCGACTATTGCTTGGTCTATTGTTAGCATTCCTGAAATGTTCAATCTATACTTGCAAACGATTTCCATCGGTTATAATTCAGAAATTTTAATTATTTCACAGGAGAGTAATCTTATTTCATTGAAAGTTTCGGCTGCAGGTATAAAATTATGGCACACATTGTTATGAACAATATTATGTAAACATTATTTAAAAAATAATAATCTCATCTGATCGCAATAACCAAAAACGAGGTGCTTGGTATATAATTTTCTTGGGTGAAGGATGTCTGGAATTCGTCTTAAGACGTTGTTTTTGTATGAATGACTTTATTATTTACGTTTGGTTGGTTATAACAAAATATTTCATTGAAATGTTGGATGGTGTTAACAAATTAATTATTTGAAGTTTTTTTACAGGTCTAATTATTGTTGTTGTAGCTATTGCATTCGTTAATTATTGTTAAGCTAACAGGTAAAAGAAAGGAAAGCTTTTTATATTAATATTAATAATAATAATAATAAAGAAACTTTTGATTATTTAAGTGACTTTATGGCATAAGCAGCTGCTTGTTTTTCCGTAGTTTAGGTTATGCGATTAAATTTCATTGTTTTAATCATTTCATTTAAAACTACCTTCTTTACAGTTTTCATTCGGTTCGAATATACCCTACTATACTATTGAATGTTTTTCTTTCTGCCCCCAAAAAATCCTTGAAACAAACTACTTTAAGATTTATTCATCATCCTATTTATCAGACACGCGCTCTCTCGTCCGCCCTCTCTCTCTTTCCCGTCGTGTTCCATCTCATTCTCGTTCACTAATTCGACTTGCACACATTTTTTCTCTTATATATCTTTTACAAATTGTACCGTCATTTTGCTTTTTTTTGGCAGTTTGATTTGATATTTTGCTGCAGACATCTGGGTTACCATCCTGGTTTTCAAACCATTACAAGATGCTCGCCAATATTGACATTTTAAAAGCCAAAAATTTTGATTTAGATGGTAAGCAATTACTTAACTAAACATGTCGTAATGTCATTGATATAAATAAGTATGAAATCTGAATCAACTTAACAGTAAGGTTGCATGTCAAGAGTTGAGCTATAATTTCACCGATCCACTGACAAAACCTATATAGTAATTATATAGTTAGCAGAACTAGTTTGCAATGTAATGTCCGATTGATGAAAGCACTCATTAAGAATAGCAAGTACAATCAGAGCTTTTCGATTTAAAGTATTTTACGCAGCATTTCAGTTGGTAAGACCAATATCATAATAAGTATAAACATATGCTTCATAAGCCTTTTGGGTTGCGCAGTGGTTCATAGTCTTCAATAATAATCTGTTTGATATTAAAGAAAGTTGAATGCCTAAGTTGCTATGTAATATTCTATACACTGATAGTTAATTATATGTTGTTGTCTATAATATTATAATATGAAGTCGGATATATAGGAATACTTTATTGTTCGTCAATATGATATATAGTACATGACAAAATTTGACATCGTTTTTAATCAGGGAAGGATATTTAAAAAATAAGTTTTGAAAGGAGTAACACGTTAGGTGCCGTAAGTTTAAACGATATTTACGTAATAATAGTTTTTTATCGCACTACATTAGATTTCATAGCAATATCTAAAGATCTTCTTTTGTTTATAGTTAATGTTTTTAAGGCAAGAAATAAAATTCTGGTAGTCCATAAGTTACGATAGTATCCTGGCATCTCTGAATCCGTGCGTTCGCTTATGCCCGACTGGCGTTTTATTGATGCTCTCACAAATTTCACATCAAACTCTCTTTTTCATTATATTCTCTGACTTAAATAACATCTTCTTTGTCTCCCTTTATAAAATTTTTTATGGTGGTTTCGTGACGAACTCTAAATTGCACACAAATTTGTTAGATGAGTTTTACAATAACGTTTTTTTCCAATTTTAAATATACATTTGATGTATAAATAGTAAGACTTATTTACTTTTTAATAAAAAATTTATTGTCGGAAAAATTAAAACACTTCTTTTTCTCTATTTTCACTTTATAGTTATTTCTTATTCGATATTTAGTTAATTTTTTTTTTTTTGGCTAAAAAATGCACATTGGCATCCCAATGTTTACTATTTTTCCCAACTTTCTCCCGTTCTCACATTAAGTCTTTCATACGGTGGTGGCAAAAGAAGGACGGTGCTTGAAATTAGCTTTCAATTATCTTGTTGAAACTTAGTCACTTTTTGCACAATTTTAAAAAATAGTTTTTCAGAGTGTTTCAGAAAATTGTTTTTAATAGTCGTTAAAAATTTTCCGCCTCAACATTGTACGTCACTCTTCTAAAACCAACAACGCATTTATAACTAAATGATGTTCTCTTACTCATGGGCCTACTCTTTTTACAATACAACATACAAACAACACACACATCTACAGAACACAAAACGGAACACACATATCTACTCACTCAAAGAACAATCATGCAATTTTTCAAAAAATTTTCTTATTTTGTTGTTTTTCATTTCATTTATTAGTTAAATCAATACAAAGTCTGACAATATTTTTATCTAAGTTTTATTCACCTTTTTCTTGTTTTTGTTCTTTTTTATTTTTGTTAGATTTTTAATTATTTTCTCACTAGTTTTTTTTTTTAAATCATTGTATATGTATTCGTTTAGCACCTTTTTTTTTGTTTCTTATTTATTGCCATAAAGAAATTTTTTTATTTTTTTTTAACCATACTTATTCTCCGTTCGTTACAGCAGCGGCACCATTGCAACAAAACATTACCGAAAAATCGAACTATTATTTGAATGCATACTTAATACCATTATCGGTTGTTCTCAATAATTTTTTTTTGATAATCATTTAATTTATCAATTTAATTAATATTTTTTATTTTATTATTCATTATTTAATTTATTTATTTATTTCATTTTTTTACGAATAGAAATTTTCGCAAAAAAGCACAACGATGCAACAACAGCTTCAAAGTGACAATAGTGGGAATAAAAGTGCATACTTATACAATAACGTTAACGCTCAATTATTTATTTTGTAAAAAACAGACATGGCAATAAAATCTTCGGTTGTTGGCTTGTTAAATAGCAGAAGAAAAAGATGACACAAAACATATCTGTAATTATAGAACTGAAGCGTCTGATTCTTAAACATATGATTAAGTAAATTTCTTTAATTATTTTTCAATAAACGTGATTAAAGCATTTCAAAGTGAAAGCAAAAATAATTATTATTATTTATTTCGAGAAAGGAGTGAAAATTT